TAAGGAGTATTTTTGACATTCATAATGATGTCTTTTTCTAACATACAAAAGCAAACGAGACCATCAGTGAGAAGATGATGAAAGGAAGATTTTACAATGATAATTCTTTAATGCCTCGAACTGGTGTGATGAGGGAAGGTGTCATCTGAGCATCTGAGCCCTTTTTACAATTTTTAACCTGCAATATTCACAAATAGAAGTGCATGTCATATCAATAGTTAGAATTTGTTTGTCATAAGTCACTACTGAAGCATGTAGAGAACAAGACAAGCAAAGACTGATTTGTCCACAGGGGGCGCCACATGTCATAAATCAGAATTTCCCTCATAGGAGCTTTAAGTTAAAAGTTATCATCCACCTCTAGTAACAATCAAAAAAATAATTTATCTGCATTACCAGCCCTGTGACTGACCAGTCTTTGGTAAAGTCACTGCCTCATAAATTGACTGTTTTTTGGGGATATTCTTCTCTAAGGTTGCTTCATATCCAGAATGCTTTTATTCTTAAATATAGGGTTTTTTTTGTTGTTGTTTTTCTGGATTGTAATGTACGTAGGTGAATGAAATCAGTTAAAAGAACAGAAAGTAAATCTGTATCCATTTCTTCTTAAGAAGGCCTGTTCCCATCTTTCATAACCGTACTCTTGCATCACTTCCTGATTCCCGAAACTGCAGGATGAGACAGTGGTCATAATCACAGAACATGACAGAACATGTCTGTGTTAATCACACATTAAAAACACAAGGGTGTTAAATAAAATTCAAGGTGACTTGTCGTTACCATTGTGTTAACTTTGACGGGCCAATAAAAAATCTTTATATTATCTGGAGGAGCACAGAAGTCTAAACACAATTTCATCTTGTGAATTTTACCACACAGACTCTACATTTTGCTTTAAATATGCATAAAACATTCAACTAGTTATTACCACATTATAAGCAATAAGAACTTCATTTATTTAAATAAAGAGATGTGGAACAAAGTTTTACGAAATACACAAGATAGAATCTCTTGAATCGCACTGATAACCAAACGTTTGACACAAGAGTCCAGATAATAATTTGTCCTCTGGCCTTCAATGATTCTGAGACTCTTATTTCAGTCGTTTATACCATGAACAGAAATCATGAAAGAATAAAACATGGTTCTCAGGTCTCAGTTACTGTCATTTTAGGAGAAATAAAACACTGAATAAAAAATAAAATAAAACCATTAATTAAAATCAGTGCAGCATAGACAGATGCAGCAGATTAAAGCGCACCAAGCAGGTTAAGGTGCAGCGTGACCCTTATTAAAGCCATAATGCACGTTTTGCAGCCTTATTGCAGCACCTGCACTCTGCAGTCTTGTGTTCTGGTGCTTTATTGTCTCCTTTTCAGCTTCTAGAAGTAATCACTGATTGGTACCTATTTCTACCACAGCTGACCTCAGACCCCTGTCCAGTCATAAATGCCACCATTTTTTATATTTTGAAATGTATAGGAAGCAGCATGTTTTTAATATCAGACATGAGTGTCTAATGCACATTTTAGCAGAGATATGAAGCATTAAAGAGGCAGAGGCAAGGGCTGATAATAATATTATTAAATGTAGTAAAAATCGTGTGTTAACAACTGTTTTCTAGGTTTTCTATATAAACACTTGGATGTTAACATATCCTGTTTTTTTTTAGTTTTTTTTTTAAAGGCCGAGCTGCTCTGTTTTGTATTTTAATTTCTCTACTGTATTCACAAACTTAGATTTTATTCCAGCCTCTAACTTGAGGAACTCGATGGCATGTGGTGCAAATGCTCTATTATGATTGAATTATCCCTGCTTTATCAAAGACACTTCTAATCAGGCTTAAACAAGAGCACACACCCCTATCCACAGCTCATAAATATGATTTGTGTATTATCTAATTCAATATTAGATCATTCAAATGTTCAAACACAGACTAAACGAAATAAAACCAGTTATAAACGTTCTGTGTCTCCGTTCAACACGTCCCATCACTCTGCGGTGGGATAAAAAGGACTATTACTTCTCTTCACCTGTGAGTGAACCAGAGTCATCCTCAGTCTGTATCTCATTTATACAACCAGCCTGTTAGGCCTGAATGAACAAACTGACACCCATAAAGAGTGTGTCTACACTGTAAAAAAGACCATTGGTCAGTGGAACAGTATTTATGTGCGAGTGGATCTTATTACAGTGCGTGCAGGCCTCAGCAGTACTGCAGGTTTACACTGCCATCTGTTGGCTGAAGTAGCTTGCTGCACAATATGCACACCCACACATAAGACACTTCCACCTGGACTGTAATAGCACTTCACACACTGCTCTACTGGAGGATTAAGCCTCATGATGCAGCCTCAGATAAGTTAACAGCACGTTTATTCTCTTTGCAGGTTTATGTTGTCCAAAACAAAAAGCATGTGTGCTGCAAAAGCATAAATATTCACTTTATTTTTTGAATGAAAGTAAGTGATAAATGCAAAAGTAAATATGTGGTTGTATTTCTCTACACATCAGCAATTATATATATTTTAATTGTTGACATTGATAGAAATAGACATTTGGAGGAAGGCGAAAATATGAGAGGAAATATAGTATATGAAATATAATCAAGCTACGCTCAAGCTGCAACCTCCAAAGCATACAGAAAAGATGTGAAATTGTCATTTATGAAATCATTTCAATAAGCAAAAGTTCCTGAGAGTCTCATTTTTAACTTAAAAAAATGTTTTCATGATGGAGCAGATTGTAATGTGCACAGAGATGCCTGATGTGCAAGACTGAAAACAGTTTCTTTATATTTGCAGCGAGGCAGAGTAACCACTAGATGGGGGGATCAGTACATTAATAGCAGGGGCACTGGCTCCCGGTAAATACTGTAGTCTCTCTTTCATAGTCCTGAAGCAAGTTAAAAATAGCTGCATTTCATGTACCTCATGCAATTTCTATCCAGGGAAAAAAACATGCAAAAATCTTAATCATCTCGTGCAATTAGAGCTGACTTTTTCCACATAACCTTGTTCCTCTCCTCCGCCTCTGCTGCTCATGTTCTGCTACAAACCGATCCAAGACTGAAGTTTTACATCCTCCACATCTCCAACATAAACAATTCATCAACATTTCTGTAACTGAATCACTCAAAGGATAAGACTTAATTCTAGTTATTCAATAAAATGTTGTCTGAAAGCTTGCACAGAAAGGAGCGATGCAAAAATGAAATAGAGATTAAAAAAGTCAAACGCATCAATCTAAAAATCTGATAAATTTGAGTTTTTATCAAGAAAAATACATCAACAATTAGGAGGCCATGTATGCATAGTGGGTCTTGTGTTATGCAAACAGTGTGATTAGTAGCCCCATGCCTCCTGGGCGTCCACACTCAAATATATGTTGATGTTGTTCAAATGCATATCTGATTTATGACATGCACAACGAAACCCAGACCTGGTTCTTTTAAAACCAGCCAAGCAGATGAAGGTTCAAGTATGTTTGTAAAGGGTTGTCTTTGAATCCAATAACAATAATAACTTTATTTGTATTGCACTTTTAAAAACAGAGGTTTACAAAGTGCTTTGACAAATTGTCATTGAGCGCAAGATCTTCAGCACAATGGAATAAAAACAAAAAAAGCACAAACCAAAGCCCTTAGAATTTAAAGGCCATTTTCATATGTTGTAAGGAACCCAGACAATACAAGAACCATGCAAGGTTCACAAAAACACTGAGATAAGAACAGTAAAGATACAAATTGAGCTCCATCAACCTCCATCTCTGCAGCAGAGGTCACAAAGCATGCCTCCTCTATCAAAACAGACAGGAGATGGGTCAACCTATAAAATCAAAGTTCTTATCAAACTCCTTTTATGGTTTGGTTTTTCACAAAGAAAAAGAAAGAAAAGAAAGAAAGAAAGTAAGGAAGGAAGGAAGGAAGGAAGGAGGGTTGATAAAGGAAAAACGGAAGGATAAAAAGGAAAAGGGGAAGGGAGGAGGAAAGGTTGACAGAAGAAGTGAGGAAGGAATGATTTAAGAATTAAAGAAAGAAATAGAAAAAGAGGATGAAAGAAAGAAGGATTGAAGGATGAAAGAAGGAAAGAAGGAAGGGAGAGAGGGAAAAGGAGGGTAGGAAGAAAAAGAAAAAAAAGAGGATGGATCAAGGGAAGAAAGGAAGGAAAGACCAAGGGAAGAAAGGAGAGAGAAAGGTAGGAAGAAAAAGGAAAGTAACAAAAAAGAGATAAGGAAGAAAGGAAGTTAGAAGGAAAAGGAAAGGAAAGAAGGTTGACAGAAGATGTAAGGAAGGAAGCATGGTAAAGGAAAGTTGTCAGAAGAGGGAAGGAAGGAAGAAAGGAAGGAATGATGATTGTGAGAGAGGAAGGAGGATTGACAAAAGAGGTAAGGAAGGAAAAATCAAATAAAAGAGGTCAGAGAGGAACATTGACAGATTAGGTAATGAGGAAAGAAAGAGGGAATAAAGAAAGGAAGACAATGAGAAATAAAAGCAAGAGGAAAAGAAGAATGAAAGAAAGGGAAGGAAGTCAGAAAAAGCTAGGAAGGAGGGACTGATGGGAGAAGAAAAGGCAAGAAAGGCAGAAATGAAAGGAGGAAATAAAAAACAGATGCAGTAAGGAAAGAAAAAAGGAAGAAGGAAAGACATGAAGCATGACTTAAGGAAGTAAGGAGGAAGGAAGAAAGACAGACAGGAGGAAAGGAAATAAGACTAATCCTCAGGGATTAATAGGGCTCTGGCATTGTTTGGTGCTCTGGCCCTGATTATGATTGTTGAGGCAGTTAGTTCTTCATGAATCAAAGTTTGAGTTTTCAGCTTTGACCTGGTGTGACACAGTCAAGTCTATTACCCTCAACTCCAGGTAATAACAAAGCGGGATACAACATTCCCATTGCTTTCAAAACTTTATGTTGATATGCAGACGGCGGGTGAAAGCAGAGCTTGAGATTATGAAAAGAAGAGCACGGCTTTGGAGTTTAAAGACAAAAGTCAGAGGAAGATGATAAGTAGCAAAGAAAACAAAAAGCAGAGAGAGGCAGACAGTGAAGGACGTGAGAACGCTGCCACGCTAAGCAGTGCGGATCAGAGCCCGAGCCTCCCGTCCTCCCAGGAAAACAAACTTCAACAATTAACAATCAACCGAATTTGTGATGAGCAAGCAGAATCTGCAGCTGGAGGACAGACAGAGGGGGAGAGAGGGGGAGACAGTGAGAGAATGGAGGGATAGGGAGGTGATCCGCTTTATCCTCTTTTTGCCTCTGGCCTCAGGCTAAAGCTGTATCTTTCATCATCCCCACACATCTACAGGCAACCCAATCACCTTCCACATAAACAACAACCCCTCATTGTCAGCAGGGAAACTCAGTTTACTCCACGCTCCACTCCTCCTTACTGAACTTTTCTCACTGACTTACCGCAGGGATGAGCCAGATTCAGCCAACAGAGCTTGAGGAAGATGGAGCTGAAGTTTGTTTGAAACTCCTGACGCAGCAGGATTAACTCGCTCATATATTAGAACAACACTGTAGAGGAGGGTCAGAGTTCAAGCTCCGCTCTGTCTGGAGACTTTCTCCCTCTAACTGTGTTCTCTTGTCCTCAGAGCTGCCAATCAGATAAGAACAGGAAGTTGTCTGCTTTACCCAAGCAGTGAGACGCACTGTTCTCCATCAGGACAACATAGGAGCTGTGCTGGGTAATGACTATAATAATAGTTATTATTGTAACAATAATAAAACTAAAAATAAACTCTACTATTAAAATACTATCACAATAAAAACAAATAAAAAATGATGCTGAATCTACTCCAATAGCCTGTTCTTAGACCTTTTTAGGTCAGCTGATCACAGATACAGCCTCTGATTGGTCAACAGACCAAAAAAGTTATTTTTAATTGTCAGCTTCTTAAAATTGATACTTAAATTAAAACCAGATGGCATGGCTGACCTTTTTTGTTTAGGCAACCTTTTAAAGCTTCTTAAAGAAACTTTCTGTCTGTGTTGATTTTAGCGCCCTCTGTGGACAAAGTGGTGACCCTAACTTTGTCATTTGATTTTGAAGTGGCATTAATTGATAAAAAATCTCTTTTTACAGTTAAATCAATATCTAGCTGTAAATATTTGCTGTGGAAAGATGCATCACTGTGCATTTCAGTCCTTTTTAAAGCTAGACAAAAACTCTTCAGAGCAACTTTAATTGCATTTTTTTCCCTTTTATTTACCTGCATTAAGGGTAAGGGTTACCCTGACCCTAATTTAGACTAAAATAAGACTTAATGGACAGGAGGAGTTTTTGTTTGGTTATGAAACAGACTGAAATGAACTTTGCCATCTTTATGATGTACAAAAGCAAATAAGACTTAAGATTTCCAACTTATTTTTAATGATTTTTTTTAATGCCTGTAGCTGCTGTGTGTGTGTGTGTGTGTGTGTGTGTGTGTGTGTGTGGGGGGGGGGGGGGGGGTTACACTGAAGAAACAGCTTCTATCACTTTCTCTGTAGTGAATATTTACATTTAATGATTAATATCACTGTTAAAAGGCAACAGACTTAGATTTTTTTCCATAATTACCACTTAATGATGAGACAAAATCAGCAACAATAGAATTACCACTTTGTCCACAGAGGGCGCCAAAAACAACACAAACAGAAAGTTCCTTACAGCAAACGGCCAATCTTCTAATCCTAATTTATTAAAGAGATCTTAGTCTGTAAATCAACTGAAGAACTAAAATCAATGCTGTGTTGTTATTAATTCACTTTCAAACAGCAGATTTATTCATCAGCAGGTTCAGGTTCAGTTTGTTTTATTTGAACAATACCATTGAGCCTCACTATTGGGATGAGACTAACCTGGACCACTGACAGAGCAGGAAGCTCAAACCAGGTAAATATAGCAGCCCAGTGTGTGTGAGAGTGTGTGTTACATCCTGACAGACCAGATACAGGAAGTCCTTTTTCTGCCATGTACACCCACCCCGGCCATCTTTCAGGCCTTCCGGCTGCCGGCCACCAAACAGAATCCGGACACAGCACACGCAAGTTGGCCACAGTAACCCCTCTCCTCCCACAACCCGAGCACCCTGGCAGAAGTATCTGAACAGCCCATATGTTTATAGGCAGAGATCAACTTTCTGACATCTGTGAGAGCACAGCTATTGCACCACTACAACACAAATACACACAGTTACACACACTTGGTTTTAGTTATTTTTCAATGAAAGAAATATTACACCAAGTAAAATTAAGATATCATTGCATTGGTGTTTTTGCTCTTCAGTCCCATCCATTAAAAACAGAAGTTCTGAAGGGACTTATATCCCAATAGTTGGAATTTAAATTTAAATTCTGACGACTCTAATAGTAAAAAAAACATAGGGAATAGTCCAAATTTAGCAGAGTTAATTTAACAAGATTACTGTGTTTTTCGCACTATAAGGCGCACATCTGATTATAAGGCGCACCATCATGAATGTGTCTATTTTCATACATAAAGCGCACCGGATTATAAAGTGCAGTAAGCCAAACAAAACAGTCAGATAAGTCAAACTTTATTTAACTCATTCAATAACTTTGTGAGGCTACGGTAGCTGCAGTGCTCCGACAAGCCAAAAGGATTTTAAGTGCGCCTTATAGTGTGAAAAATATGGTAAAAACAATATGAATCAGCCAGCACTCTCAGTCAGGGTATGCTCCAGCTTTGAAACTTTCAAAGGTCACTTGAGGGTGCATCTCAGGGAAAACTAGATCCGTGACTGTGCTTAACTAGTAAACCATCAATGTGTATCCATCTATCCATCCATTGATCTACCTCCAGTGCAATATTGCATACATAAATCCATATATCTATGCTATCCCTGTGCACTTATATATGCATTAACGTGTGCATTTAAACCACATTCAATCACCAAGCTAAGGCAACTGTGCAATTAACACCAACACCTTTACAATTGTTTACAAACCACCAGCACATGAGCACTCTTACATACAATAAACACAGAGTCACAGAATCTGTAGTTTAAAAATAAAGGTAAAATTAATTTGCTATGCGCTGCTACCTATAGCAGTGTTACCACCATGAGCTTTCAGCCCCACTTGGACATTATTGCTGCCTACCCCTGCTGGTTGGACATCGCTCTGTTTGGATAGTTACATGCTACTTTGACCAGATACAGCCTACAGATAACTTTCACTCTGTTTTCCAGATTGGATCACTTCCAAACCAGGCAGTTATCTGTCACCTGTAGGTATTTTTATATAGGTAATAGAGCATTATAACATCATGGTTGTAGCCTCTTACTGGAGATACAGCCCCAGCTAATTTCAGGTGTTGTCAAATCAAAAAGATACATGCTGTAACAGTAGGATTAGAGGTGCTGTATCTGAGCATTTTGGTGAAAGCTGGAGAGCTGGGCGTGTATCTCGTCAACTTGTGAGGGTTCGGTATTTCTTATGCATGTCCACTTCAATTAGTCAATTAGTTTGTTGTCCACTCCTCACAATCATCATGAGTCTGAAAGAATAAGATCATGAACTGCTGTGAATCCAGAGAACTCAGCTTCAGGAGCAGGATAAGGAGCTCGCTCATACAGAGAACTTGATGCTCCCCTGCATGAAAAGGAGCTGGCTGAGGAAATCTGGTTTGCATACCTCCTGGGTGACTCCTTTTGGTGGTTTGCATCGTGTCCAACTGGCAAGAGACCTTGATACAGACCAAGTGGTAAACCCCCAACTCACTGAAGGGATTAAATAACCCATCTGATATGGGAACGGCTTGGAATACCCGAGAAAGAACTACAAAGCAAAGCTCTGGAGAGAAACGCCTGAACCACCTTGCACAGCGTGCTGCCTCTTCAACTCAGATGAGCAGATAAGAGAGAGGACGGATATTTATAGTTATTGTTATTGTTCCTGGTGTGGACAGCACTTTATAGACTCGAACACACGCCTGTGCTGTGAGTGTGAGTGTGTGTGTGTGTGTGTGTGTGTGTGTGTGTGTGTGTGTGTGTGTGTGCTCTAAACCACCTCCAGCTCTCTTAATCGAAATCACGACTTTTAGCAAAGCAGGCCTCTCCTCCGGCCAAGGAGGGAGCGTTGTATCATCCTCTTCAACACGCACACACACAGCAAAACAAACACACACACAAATGAAGAGGCTGTCCGCTGTTTTCTATTTGATTTGTATTTGAAGAAATATTAGATTTTTGCCTCAACCAGGCTTAAATCCCTCCCCTGGGCCACGAGATAGTGCAGAGAAAGCTGCGGCGGCCAGGCAAATAAGAGCTGAATCGCTAAAACACCTCCACTGCTGGCTTTATTCATGAAGAGAGGGAAGGAGGGGATGTGGGGTGGGGGGGGGTCTTCAGGATTTTCCAAGGTCGCCAAATAAAACAAAGAGAGTAATTCTAATCCCTGAAGGTTTCTCTCAATGAATATCAATAGAGAGCATTAGGATTTTTAAGCACACCACTTTCTCAAAATGAGTGAGGAGGAGAGATCCTAAAAAAGAAAAAGGCTGATCAGCGAGTAGTCCCAGCCCTGCGTCGTCTTATTGATGCGATCCTCATCTGGATTGTGAGTTTTGTGGTAGGATCAGCTTGTCTAAGTGTTGGCGGTATTTTCAGCTCAGTGTCAGCGTGTAATATCTGACCACCACACATCCGAAGCATCTCCCAGCCAATATTTACAGAAGATAACAGCTCCCTGTGACATCTGAGCCCACAATCAGCCGAGACCTCTTCTCTCTGCTTCCCACTTCATCTTTCTATCTTTGTCTCCTACCAACCACTGGGAAATCCCTCCAAGTCTAATATTTTATCTTTTCTTGTAAGAGTCGAACATCCAGAGCTCCTTTTACTTTCAATGTGAAGAACAAACCAAGGTTACCCTCAGAAAGAATAAGATGTGAATATTAAGTGTAAAACAAGAACAGGATGATATTCTGCACAGTGTTGAGTCACAGAGATCACTTCTCTGGTGTGCTCGGAGGCTGTAGCTTTATTCTGTTAAGCAATTAGCCTCTTAAGTGTTTTTGTCTCCTCGCTGGTGCCCTCATGTTTGAAAAGTGAGTCCTTGCCCACAGCAGAGGGACATCCAGTGAAGAAATGTTCTTCCTGATTGTATGTTTGCACCAAGTGGTTCTGATAGGGTTTGGTACAGTTTGGTGCACTAAACCCTGATTTTGCTTGTGCTTTCACGGCCATCTGCACTCTAGCTCTTCATGCAGGAGGTG